TGTTGTTGTTGTTGTTGTTGTTACATATGACATCCCTGCAAGCCAGTAGCAACCCCCAGCAACATGCAGCAAAACAGCAACACCGAAAAGCTCGCACTCAGCCCGCCAGTCATAATTCGCTAGAGAACTCAAAGATCTATTTTGGCATGTCCTTTAAACCTTGACTGTTGCTTATAAAAACCTGTACTTCTAAGCCAACCTAGGACGTCCATGCAGCACGACATGGCTTCAGAACCCCGAGCCCGACCAAGCCCTTCAACCCTTACGCGAGCCTCCACCCGCAACTCTACACAAATCCCTAGCTCTACGCGACGGAGTTTAGGAGAACCAACTGCCCCCTAGCTTCGGGAGTGCCCTATGCAATCCTGACACAAAGCCGGCAGCATAGAACTTTCAAAGGAAACCGATAAAGCGCACCTTCGAAAACAACCTCCCCCCGCCCCTAAACCAAACCCTAAGGGTCCATGTGCCCNNGTGCCCAAATAGTATATACTTTTGGCCCCAAAGTACCTACATAGGGACTACTTTAAGGCCGAAGTAAATAGTAATTGCATACATCTACCCTTAGGGAAACAGGATTCGGAGTCGCCTGTGCCGCACGCTCTGGCACCTTCTCGGCCAGCTGCAAGCCGAACAGCCGACGTGCTTGGCCATGGGCCTTAATTTTTTTTTTGGAGTTGAGGACTTTTTTGTGAGGGGCTGGCAAGACTCCAAAGAGTGCGCCGACTTGGGGTTTAGGACTTAGAGTTTAGGGTCTGGGGTTTAGAAGTTGAAGGTTTAGGGTGCAGAGGCATAGAGGTTGAGGGTTCAGGGCTTTTTGGCTCTTCGCTTCAGTACGGAAGTGTTCCCTGGGCCCTGTTACTGGGCCCTATATATAAGCCTTGATTGGGTGAGCAGTAGCTTGTTTATTGTGGCTTTACAATCCCAACAGGGCCGTATGAAGGTGTTACCCTAGACCCCAAGCACCAAACCCTAAACTGTTCAAATCCTGTTTAGGGGCTTCGGCTCACACACACTCGCAAAAGCAGGCATGGCGATAAGTGTCCGGGCTTAGGCTTTAGGTTTTTAGCATCTAGGGCTTCTAGGGCTTGGGAATGCTGGGATTTATGGCTTCTTGGGTTTTAGAATCTTTGGGGTTCCAGTTACTTAACGACGAGCAGCACGTTACTAACAACATGCTTTGTAGCTCAGTAACCCATTGTTTCGGTAGCTAGAGCCCTCCAGAATTCTAAGTCTTCTGACTTCGGGGAGGATAAGGCTTCGAGGCAGGCTGCTCCCATCAACCCAACGAGGCTTAACTTCACGTTTCAGCTCGCCAGACTTTCCCAAAGCCATCAGCCAATTTAGGTTTAGGGGTCGAACAAACCCCAGACCCTCATCTCTCAAAGAAACCCTGACTCAACAAAGTCTATTACACAAGCATGAACAACTGGACGACACCTCCGTCACCTGCAGGCCGAGAGGAGGTCGAAGAATCGTCCACTCCTGAGATCCCCGCATATGAAAGTCCAGGCTTTCGTGGCTCATAGGGCTCAGGGCTAAGGTTCCGAGTTTTGGGTTTAGGTGTTCAGGGCTCGGAGTGCACGGCTTCAGAGTTTCGGGCGTCATAGGCTGAAAGGAGTTTTAGCGTTCGAGGGAAGGGTTTAAATTAGGCGCTGTGGTTCGAGAAGTTGAGGGCCGTTTGCGCTCCGGAGAGATTCGGGCGATGGGCGAATTATGACCGCCCGGGGGCGCTTTGAGGAGGAGTCCCTTGGGGGATATAGACCCTCTCAATGAGGTCCCTTCTTTAGAGAGCCATAAGTAGGGGTAAGAAGGCTCCCTTTAAGGGGTCTCCCTATATAATGCCACCTAGGATTGAGTGAAGCCTAGAAAGAGATGTTGTAAGGATCGCCTGGCGTCGGGCTTGTACGTACTGCAAGCATCCATCACCCCCTGCAATCAAAGCAAAACATAGCATCCAACACATCAAGGAATATCCTAAGGCAACTTATGTGTAGATAATTACTGTAGATACGTTATATTCTGTATTTGTGTCGGTTTGTGTTTGTCTATATATCTGTGTATCCTCTTTATATTCTTTATTTCAGGCCGCGTTTGTTCAGGGGACCTCCGCTAACTCCCTGTGGCTGACAAGCTGAACCGGAGTCTCAAGTTCTCCGGGCACCCTAGACCTAAACCCGTACCCTAAACGGTTGTGGGTTTGGGCACTACTCGATTTGTGCTTAATGCTCCTAGGCTTAACTCTGAACTAAATCCTACTCCAAAACCCAATATGATTACCCTGATATGCTGCCAGGGCCACATCGTGTGTTGGGAGCTGCGGGGCCTATCGTCGGAGTGTTCCGCCAAGACTGAATCCCAAACGTGGCCAGTCAGGTAATTCAGGTAGTGACCAGGCTTCTGGTGTTGGTTATGTATGCTGTCCGAGAATGTCTTGGGCCTGTTTGGAAGCTTGTCCAGTCAGAGAGCTTTCTGTGCATTAGGCCACACCTCTTTTTCCAAACAGTCTGCCTTGCGCATGGGCAAAGATGAACACATCAGCTCGATGTTGCACAGGATCTCAAGCTCATGGTGACATACGGCACAGGAAAAAAGATCAATACATTGCAGTTAGAGTCCAGAGCAGATTGGCTTCTATTCTGCCGGAGTACGCTGGATTTGAGACGCACTGTGCTCTAGACTTCGATCTGACTGGTATGGCAAACTTCCCCGCCCACTACAGCGACCGGAAAAATAGCCTGTATTTCGGATTCGGGACGTAGAGCACGCTCTGCTGGGTTAAGGGCTTGCCTTTGGGCGAAGATGTACCTCTCAGGGGGATGTGTGGGTTACGATTTAGGGTTTTCCTCCAGTTTAGGGTTTTTTTGCCTCCTACTTAGCAAGGACGCGCCCGCATTGCAGGGTCCAGTTTAGGGTTTTATAGGGTTTAGGGATCTCCCCCACTACCGCAAGCCCATCAAAAGCAGCAACCAAGCGTCAGGGCGGCGATTCCAAGCGCTCTGGTTGCTGAAGGCTTCCTTGTGCCGTAAACCGTAACCGTAAGGGTCCATGTGCTCAAAACGTACTGTAGAGGCATGGCCCAAGTACGTACATAGGAACTTGGCCAAAGTACTACTTTTTAGGTACATTTGAGGGCGCAGGTTGTGTACAAGTTCTACCGTGTGTTCTTTAAGTCTGGTACATGTTGTGTTTGGGTTTATGGCTTGAGTGGATATTCTGCTTAGCTGTGGCTGATGTTTTTGTGTGTGGGAGTTGAGTTTGACCGGATATCCTACTCCTAATGGGTTGATTTTAAACGGGGCTCAATCGGAGCTTCTGCTTCAACATAGATATGAATTTACTCGGGTGTTTGGGCGTGCGCCTTGTTCTTTACTGTAAGCTGTCTTGTCGCTGAGAAGCCCAACTTGCCTACGGAGGACAGACAGAGAACTGTCGGCGTGTCAAGCTCTACTCTGGATCGGGGAATGGGGTTCAGGGTCTAACCCTACAAGCTCTAAACCCAATCTGTGACCTTGAACCCCATGTGAGGAAATCTGGGTTTGGTAGCAGCCGGCTGCCTTCGCCGTAGATCCGTGCACCCTAAACCCTAAAAGGTATACGTTTTTTCCCTTTGCGAGACACCCTTTCTGGGCTCGGAGTATATACTGTGTGGGCACATTGGCCCTTAAAGGAGCTCCTAAAGGAACCTTAAAGGGACCCTTAAAGGATCTGGGATAACGGCCAGAATGCTTGGGCTTTCAAGTTCAGGGCATTGCTTCGCGGTGCTTCAGATCCCGCACGGCATCGCAGCGGCAGCAAAAGGTGGCTCATGTCTTCAATCCCTTACTAGGGTTTAGGGTTTGTTAATGTTTAGATCAGAGGGTACACCAATGAGCTGCGAGGAGGCAGTGTGGCCATGCTAGGACTTCAAAGCAGACGAGATGAAACGACAGGACTGTGCGGGAAAATTCGACGAATCCGACCATGCCCAGACCGCTCTACATTGGACCACACGTAAATAAAGGGCCGCAAGCATCAAGCAAGTCACGTGTCATGGCGTGCAATACGACCCTTCCGTCTCTTGTGGGAGTGTGCCGTCTGTAGGACATCTGGTAAACCAAACACATATGTCAGTGGCCTTACGTACATGCATCTATCTATGTGTCTATCAGATGTAGCCTATCAGCTTATCTATCTCTATATATCAATCAACCAATCAAGGAAGCAGTCCATCTATCTGTCTATCTACCTATCTACCTGTCTTTCTTTGTACACATTCATGTATGTATGTATGTATGTATGTATGTATGTATGCATGTATGTATGTGCATATGTCGTTTTTTTATGTGACATGTATGTGTGTGCGTGACCTTTGCTTATCGGTCTATACATGCTCATGTCTGGGCCAAGTATAAGAGTAATACCTTCGAGGTCGTCGTCGCGATCCTAAAACCCCGTTCGGATCGTCTGTCAGAGTTCTGCGATAAAGTGTCTCCCATCTGCACCTCGTACTTGAACAGCACTTGGTGCTCCTGAGGAGAATATGCAGGCGCAGGCCATCAACACGGGCGAGCTGAGGCTGTGAGCGGAGGAAGTTTGCTATATGGGTAGTTGTCAAAATTATGGTCCCTTTGGGGGTACCCTAAAAAATAGGTGCCGTATTAAAATAAGGACCCAAAAAGGGACCATAATTTTGACAACCACCCATATCGTTGAGAGGCCGGCTCTGGAGAAACACAAGAAAGGCCCATCCTTCGGGAGCCATTTTAGCGGAACAAACGGTGCGTCAGGACCAAAACCCTGAACAGCCGGTAAGGCACCCATGTCCGAGCAGTATCTCGAACACTCCACCAAGCCAAAATAATCAACAAACAGCACAAAGGCCATTGGACATACTTTTACTTTGCAGCCCCTAGGCCCTATGCGCTACCCCAACCCGCTGACCCGAACATCTCACCTAAGACTCATGTAATACGTTTACAACGACCATGGTACCAAACTCTTGATTGCACTGAACTTTGCTGCAGGCTTCCAAGCAAGAACATCTGGTAGTTCCCTGTAGTTCCTTTGTGGAGTTACATTTTGGGATCCTTAATATAAAACTTGGTTGAACCCACAAAAAGGAACTCCAATGGAGACTATAGGTCGGCTCCTAACCCTTTTTCAGCACGGACTGAGGTGCCGGCCAGCGGCCATGCAACCCTCACCCCGTCTTAAGGCAAGAGCGCGCAGGAAAAGCTGTTGATGACAACTGACGGAAGCTCCTAACCCTAAACCCTAAACCCTAAACCCTGAACCCTAAACCCTAAACTGTGGGGGGGCCTCTGAGTACTGGATCTTCCGCCAGGACGTCCGATCGTCCGTCGACTCGGCAGTCACGAAGCAGGTGATGGGCATCCGGAGATTTCGGAGCGACTTCTGACCAAAAATGACCTGAGAAGCATCTCATTTGGGAGTTTCCGAAAACAGGGGACCCTAGTATAGTACCCTAAATAGTAGGATCCTTATTATAAGGACCCCAAAATACGGGACCGCTAATTTTCGGAAACTCCCCTATAGTGTGAAGAGTTTGGGGCTTCGAGTCCAGGGACTTCTGACCGAAGACTTCAAGGTCTGCAGGGTCTACGCATCTCCAGAATTGAGGCGCCGGGCTAAAAGGTTCCAAGCAGGGCTTGAGCGGTTGGGGCAATGTTGGCATGCTGTGGGTTTGGGCTTCAGATCTTTCATTTCCGAAACGCAGCGTGCTTGGAGGTCTTCGGCAGGGTCCAACCGTGGATCACATCTTAAAAACTGCGAGAAGATCAGCCACAGATTTAATGATTTCTTGCTTTCTTTGTAAGGAAGGGGCCCCTACCCTTTTTCCCTACACCCCTATCCCAAAACAAATCATGTACGAATCGTAATTTTATGCAAAAACCAGGAACCCAAACTCATCAGACTGGAGCACACGCCAGAACAGCTCGATGTTGTAGGTCTTTTGGCGGTTGGGCAAAGACCGGCTCACCTCTAACAGTTTCGGGTGGATTCCAAAGCATCGTGGGTCTTGTTGTGCTTTCGGGCTGAAAAGCCCTAAACCGTAAAACTGCTGATCAACGGTCTTAAGACCATGTCCCAAGGACCTGGAGCTCAACAATCTTTGAAACTCGGCCCTTGAAACCTGGGTAGTTCTCTACATCGGGCCCCTTTTCGGCGCTCACACTCACTCTAAACCCTAAACCCTAAACCCTAAACCCGGACAATCCGCCCAGGCGAGGCATCAGGTCTTGAGTCGGCTGTGTGAAGCTAAAGCACTGCAGACAGGGGCAGGATAATGTCGGGGCCTGAATAATAAGAACAGGGTTTTGGGGCCCATTATACTAGAAGAAATACATTAGAATAGGGTTTTGGGGCCCATCATACTACAAGCAATACGGAACCCCCAAATGGTATTGGTATAATTATTTAGGCCCCTATATTAACTAACACAATCCCACCTGGAATAGGAAAGCTTGCAAATCGAGTGTCGGCCCTTCCCCGGCCCTGAAGTCCCGCACTGAAGGACAGGAAGTAGTTTAGGACTCTAGGCCCCTGTGCTAATGTAGGGGCCTGGATAATTACCAATATGAGTTCGCGGGTTCGTCATTATAGTTATAGTATCATGGGCCCCTAGAACACACCGGCAGGCAAGGGTCCTTGTTATGAGGACCCTTTCGTGTTCCTAAATGGGGACCCAACTACCAAGCTGCCGGGATCATTATGCTGAGGTGCAAGGAAAAAAAGAGTTAAGTGCCTCAAGAAAGGAACGGAGCCAAAAAGTCTGGCCCGGTAATGTAATCTGAAATCTCGTCCCTGTTCTGCTTCGCTACGTGGTCTTGCGATTCGCAACACAGTACATGCCATGTTATAGGGGCCCTATTGCTAACGAGGGTGAATCACAGAACTTCACCGCAGAAGGCTGATAGAATTACAGACTACAGCGGAGCGGGGAGGTGGATACCAGCAATGCATTGCCATGAAGGAACTCATGTTGCATTCTCCAGGCACGATCGTCTCGTAGGGGGCGAGGAGGTATCGAAGGGCCGTGTCAGCTCTGGCGATGGCCAGGTTGTAGTTTACTCCTGGCTGCTCCACACGAAGTTGCACAGGTGGGCCGCAAGCAAACTACGACCCAGCTGGGTTTGGCAAGCAACCCCGATCTTTGATTGTTGCAGCCTGTCATATAACCCGAAATTGTCTGATTACAAAGGCGCCGATAAACTCTACACAAAAAGACCTTACAAACCATATTTCGAACTATTCAATCCCCCATAAGTCCTCCAAACTCGTGCCCAGCTTGCGTCAGCACATCACCACGCCCCACGCACCGCAGAAGATCCCCGGCTGGCGGAAAAGGGATGAGATGCATGAAGTCCGACCTTGTGAACCTGCGCTTCTGGCTCTCGAGAAGCCACAAGGGCCATCGTGCTACGTAGGCATCCATATGGGCCGTTCTCTAAGTTGCGGTCCCTTTTAAGGAGTGCCGTATTGTTTCGGGACCCAGAAAAGGGACCCGAATTTCGACAACTACCCAGATGAGTGGAGCTTGAGAGGTTCTCCATGGCTTGTGAGGTTGGGTTACCAAAGGCTCTTGTCTTTGGCTGAGAACCGCTGATATAGCTTATGCAGTAGTTTTTCCACTCGCCCAGCTGAGAAAGTCGCACCGCAGGAAGGGCTCGGCAGGCCACATGCTTATACAGTATAGGCTTTAGGGTTTCGGGGCTCATACAAGGGGGTTCATACTCGGAGCAGCTTTCGGGTTGTTGAGGGTTTCCAGAGCTTGCTGTGGTTTGGGTGTTCTTAGGGAAGCTTAGGTCCTAAGGTTGTAACCTGTAAGCGCTCAGTACATACATACAGACGGACGGACAAACAGACCGACAGATATATACATATATGTATATACACCTGCATACACGCAAATCATATCACATGCATATGTATATATATATATATATATGGTATCCCCCCAAAGATTTACCCGATTCTGTCTGTTTTGAGCTCTTCGTGTGCAATCCGTGCCTATTTGCTCTTCATGTCGTCTGTATGCCTGTTTTCTTACGTGAATACCCCAACATATAGCAAACA